GTCGACACCCACCCGGTGGGTCTGGCAGGCCTGGGATCACGGAGACCGGGAGTGCCCACCCGGGGGGATCGTGGGGGCCTGGGGCACCGGGGGCCTGGTAGGGCAGGGGCATCCAGTCAGGCATGGGGGCCTGGGTCTATGGGGGTTGGGGGCACCCAGCCAAAGGGATGCCACTAGGGCTGGGGACAGTGTAAATTTGGGGCCTCCAGCTGCGGGAGACCCTGGCAGGGACTGGGGTCCTGGCAGGAGCTGGAGGCTATGGGGGACCCGGAGGAGGGGGTTGAGTCGGGTCCTGGCAGGGGCTGGGATGCTTGAGGGTGCTATGGGGGGGCCTTTGTTGGGATGGGATCAACCTGCCTGGAGTTGATTCAGTCTGGGTGTGGAAGGCATGATGGAGGAGGGTTGGGTGCTCAGGAGGGCTGGGGAGCAGGACGGCAGTGGCCCGTTTGGCCTGAGGAGGGAAGGAGCAATGGAGGAGCCTGGCGAGGATGGAGGACAGTGTTCAGGGATTGACTGTGGAGAGTCTGGGAGCATCTGCGACTGTGAAGGGACACTGGACAATCCAGCCAAGGTGGGATGGGGCCACCCTGGGGCTTGGATCCTGGCTGCAGGAGTTGAGGGAGCTATAGGAGAGCTTGTTGAGGTGGAAGGGCCTGTTATTGATCGATAGCCTTAGAAGGGGAGTTCAGTAATGGCAGAGAAAGCCTGGATTGAAGGGGTTGGGTGTTTGGGGATGGACAGGGCTGAGGCACAGTGCTCAGTGGCTGAAAGAAACCTGCCAGTTGGGTGGAATGAACAGTCTGGTGAGTAACTGGGAAAACCCAGTCAATGTTGGCTGGCTAGGATAGTTTTCTGGGATGTTGTGTGCTCTGGGAGTTTCTGCCAGGGGCTGGAGAGATGAGGGACAGTCTGGGCTGAAAAGAAGAGATAAGAATACACTGCGGGAAGGGCTGGAAGTGGAGTTTTGATACTGATGTGAGAAAGAGAGGACCCAGGGAGGAAAGAAGTGTTCAAGGGGAGAGATGAATTGTTTGAAAGGGAGCAATGTGAACTGAAAGGAGGAATTGGGGTCTTGGATGCAGCGGAGGATCTGATTAGGGTGGAGGGCAATGCTGGGAGACGGGGAGGGTGATAAGGGTGTAGCGTGGTCTGAATCGAGGTTGGGGTTGGATGATGGACTGGGGTGTTGGAAACACTTGGGTTTAGATGCCGGAGCAGTTGGGGTGGGACAAGTGAGATGCTGGCAGAGTCCGGCGAGGACTGGAAGGAAGGGTTGGAGCTGCCTGGTGAGGGGTGGTAAGAGAGCTGTGGTAGGTGGGGGAGCTGCTGCTGAGGATGCAGCATGTGCAGAGAGCACAGGCAGAAGGAAATGGCAATGGGGAAAGAGCTTTCCCAAGGGTGAAGCCGTGTTTTGTCCAGGAGCCCTCTGGATACAAGCTAGATTCATGCAAGTGGACAGCACGGGAGGAGGTGTAAGCAAGAGCAGCAAAGGCAGCTCCTCATCTTCACTGGGTTAATTCTGGCTGCGTCCCCACCTGCTGGGCCACAGAGAAAGAGATTGAGATAAGGTCTGTGGGATCTGCTCTATTTTAGATCAGTTGATGATGGAGCATGTCACACCAGACACCAAAGCCGTCACAGGATGGACATCTGCTGTAAAGATGAGGGCAGCTGCCTCCAGCAGTGCAGTGCTTTGTGGGACACATTTGGCCTGCAGCTGCTGCTAGCCAAATCTGCTCTTCTGCCTTGTGATGTCCAGATAAGCTGTTGTAGTCTGGGATCTGGCCGCTGTTATCCGAGCACTTTGTGCATGGAGAGGGCGGACTGGGTGTTTTCCAGTGTTCGTGTTATTTGATACAACATTTTACTGCCTCTTTGTCTATTTTCCATTTCTGGGAGTTGTTTTTTGAATTGCAGCCTCTCAGGCAGGGTGGGTGGCATTTCGGGGTGCCTGGTGGACTGGCTGGGCTGGGCAGAGGACTGCAGAGCTCTGTCCTGTCTCTCTAGGTTCTCAACTTTCACTAAAACAGAATAATCCTTAGTGGTAGAAACTCTCTGAAATACCAGCAAATATATCCAAAGCAGCTACGGCAGCCTGGGGCTGTGGGTCAGCAGTCAGAAATGATCGAGACAGCTTGATGTAACAATTTACTGCTTGTCATCTGAGCCGTGGTAGCTGCCCCTGAGCATGTTTCTGGCATGTCATGATTGCATTGGGAAGTGCTTAAACCCCCTTCAACGACCGCTTGCTCCAACTCCAGCAGTAAGAGGGTTAATGCTGAGGTTTAAATTATTTCGGTGCTCATCCAAGTGAGTAAGTACAGAAGGGAAGTGTCTCCTTCTGCAGAGCATACCAGCATTTCTCACAGCTGTGGGGCAGGGGTGGTGGAAGGTCATAGGTGGAGCACGGAGGGAAAGATGAGCCATAAAACTGCATAGCATGAGGGATGTGTAGCGCTGAAGGCTTTGGCGCTGTTAAGCAGCATCTGTGGTGGGCACACAGCAAGGGCAAAGGGAGGCTGCTACATGAAAGGATACGCAGCTTTCCAAAGTTTAGGAAATGCTGTGTGAAGCAGAGCTTGTGGCTTCCTCGTCACTGTAATAACAATCTTTACCGAGTGAGATGGTATGTTATTCATAGATGCTGGGGCCAGAGGATGGCTGGTGTTTTTTTAAAACCGTTGATTGAAGATGACATCATTGTGTCAAAACCAGGGTTGTCAAAGTGTGGCCCCATTTTACAGTTGAGGAAACTGAGCCATGGAGTGCCTAGCTGACACTAGGCAGATCTGGTAGAGAGGATGAAATACCAGCATAGCTAAATGCATAGTCAGGCATCTTTATCCTGGTCTTGAGCTCGTATTTCTAGCAAAAACAGCATCTATCTGTTGCCTGCTGTAGGTGTACCTAGTACCCAGAATTTCTTTCATCCCTCGTTGCTTGGCAGTAAGGCTCTATTTAAAATGGCCCCATTAAAAAAAAAAATGCTTTCAAGAGCTTTAATAGTGCCTCACTGCTTTAGTTTCCCACTACAGTTCCATGTCATGTTTTTGGTTTATTTTACTGATTGCTGAGACGTTGATATGAGAAACTACCTGCAGATAGGACAGTATACCAGCAACTGGCCAGGACTTTCAAGTTCTGAAACCAGACAAAGACTGCTGACATTGTCTGGTACTGGGCATCATCTCTGTGCAGGGCATAACGCTTCCTTCAAACTTGCTAAAACCAGAGGAGTTTGGTTTTAATTACAGAAGGAGGATTCATGCTGGTATTGGTTAATATACCAAACCAGAAAGTGCTGTGCAGCCTCTTTGGCAGAAAACTATGTTAGTAGGTTGGAGCTGGAAAAGCTCTGTAGGTGACTCGACTCCATTAAATTTTGGATTTCAGTGCGGGAAAGAGAGCCTGCATTGAATGACACCATATGGTGGAGACATGCAGCAAGCAAATGATTTTTTGGGGGAGTTTTGCCAGAGTAAGAAGTATTGAATAAACTGTGCTCAATAGATTAATTTACTTTGGTTGTATTTTGAAAAAGACTGGGTGATTTTATGACCATTAGTGACATTTGCAGTTCTGCAGCCGAAGATAAAGGTAATCAAACGTCATTCTTCAGGGCACCAGCTAATCAGTGCAGTTGTCAGGAAGGACTCCCCTCCTCCAGCTCTGTGTGCGCAGGATTGCACCCTGGATGACAAATGTAGCCTCAAATATCCACTGCTGAAGGCAGGATATTTGGCTCAACTAAGACCCTCGTCTTCCCCCACGTCAGCTTCTCCTGCGTGACTTTCTGAAACCATCACGTGCACCCTCTAGCTTTAACTTACCCTTTAAAAACAGTGAACTGCTACCATATTGATTAATTAAAAGTAAATTGTGGGCCAGAGCTGTGCTAGGTGCTGTGCAGGCAGAACACAGAGATGTTCCCCACGCCGTGGAAATACGGTCTGTCTGAGGTGAGAGATAACCGAGCGATAGAAGTAAGGAGAGCCCAGGACAGGTTCGAACTTGGCATGTTCGACGCCTAAACCTCATCAAGGATTGTAGGTGTGGCAGAGAAGGAATTAGCAGGAGAATCACGGGGTGGTTTTATGGATATTTTGTGAAGTTTCTCCCACGGTTGTAGGAAAGGCACAAACGTTTGAGAATAGAGCTCGGCAGTGCTGGGGCTGGCATCACGAGCCACGGGGAGACAGGAGCTGTCACCTCCATGGCAGATGCGCTTGGCTGGGAAGGGCCTTGAGGGTGAAGACAAGTGACTTGTGGTTGCAGCAGCGGAGAAGAGGGCGTCCGTGCAGGGGTGTATAGATGGGGGAGATGTGGTCACAGCAGCAGGCTGAGGTGCTGAGCTTTGCGGCTGTATTGCATCTCGGTGAACTGATTTGATTCTAGCTAAATATCCACGTCTAGTAGATAAGCAATTGCTGGTGACTGAGGGTGGTTTTACTTTAAATTCATTATCTGAGCTTTGTGGCTAATAAAGTTAAACAGAATACATTTACTTCTCTTTCCTAATACGAATCAACTGTGCTCTGCAGTGGCTTGTGGGCCATGCTTTATCCATGCCCTGTGCCATTATGGCTTTATATTGCCAATCTGATACAATATTTAAACAGATTATCTCAATGCTCTGTTTGTCCCAAACCAATTTTTGCTTTGGCCTATAAAGTGAATCTTCCTTTCAGCGGCTTCTGTGGTACAGGATGTAGTTACATGCATCAACTAGTTCAAAAGACCCATATACAGCATGGATTTAAAGCTGAATAAACCCACAAAACCCTTAGCTAGGACTATAAATGTCACTGTATTTTTATATATGTCTGTCTTTTTTTTTTTAAGAGATTACTGCATACAGCTATAACTGAAAGTCCTTTGATAATTCAGTGGGTATTTTAAACCTAGCAATGATATAGTTTCATAAAACCACACATCCCTGTTTTCTGAAGGATGCTAATAAGACGGTTAGCTGTGCTTTCATGCTCGATGTGTTTATGAGTGCTCTTGCCCATTTAGTTGCATCTCTGAATTTAATGCCCCACTCTGATTTCATAGTAATTGTCAGGAGTCTTTTTTCCTTTTTGTATGTCCCCACTCACTGTCTGGAAAATGCAGTCTCCTCACTGCTGACCCCATCAGTCTGTTTCTTCATGGTGCTTGTAAAGAAAACCATCTCCACCAAGGACAAAGATGTTTTTAAACAAGCCAATCTGATATCAAACATAGTTTGCTTAACCCAGAGGTGACCAAGAAGCGGTTGCTGGCTGACTGTGCCCAGCCTTGAGTTGCTGTGTATGGCTGCCCTTCTCCAAGGGCTGCACGCGCTGCCATGCTGTGCTGTTCATTATCTGAACAGCATCTGCAGTTCCCTTCTCTGTTACAGATGCCGCAGTCTGCTTAGTTTTGTGCAAATGACACGCTGCCCTTATACTCCTGTGAGTCGTCTCTGCACCTCCTCAGCCAGCTAACATCTCCACTGTCCTGTTCGAGTCTTGTCCTGCTCCTCATCCTGGACACCCCAGTGAGCGAGTACCGCTGGCCTGGCTGCCATGCAGGCATCCTGCGCATCCT